GTGTGTGTGTGTGTGTGGTCTCTTTAAAGCATATATTGATTTTCTCTCTGGTATAAATTCTGTATATTTCAATTAAAAACGATCAGATATTGTGAGAAATATAATTATTAATAGGTGTGTTTTCATTAGTGTTTAATCAGCTGATAATAAGAATCATTGTGTTTGTTACCTTAGAAAGAGCTGTTTTTTATCTACAGAGGGGGCGGGTCATGTTTCTACGGTAGCCCAGAACGGACAAACACTGGATCTAAATAGAGACGTTTGCATTTTTCGTGCATTTTGTGGCCACCAGAGTTTCTCCTTGTGGAGGGTGAAGCGAGGGGTTTTAAATAATATATATATTATATTTACAGTGTTGTGGTATAATCAGTATTTGGTGGAGGTCTGAGAGCATTTTCTAAAATACTGAATGAATTATTATTTTTTAGTTAAAGACCTTTAAAGATTTATCTCTAATCACATTGTACATGTTAGAGAATATTTGCTGAAGACGTTATAAAGACTGAAACTGTGTTAGACTGTTTGCACTCTTTTTCATTAGTTTATATCTTAGTTATATTAAGGTAGTTATGCATAATTAAGGGGGTGACAGGTGGGTGGCGTGACAGGCTTCATTCAGCCCGAGATCTTTATTTATTTTGACCTCAGTGTGTTGTTGTGTTGTTCTCAGTGTACACCTGCTGCTGATTGTCCTCACTGATTATACAGTGCTGTCTGTCTTCTGATCCGTACAGCCTCAATAATTCACTGTGTGTCTGACCAGTAACCAGAGAGACAGACAGTCAGCTGGTGTTTGGGTTCACGTAAAAACAGTCAGAGTGAGACGTCCTTTTTCTTCCTCCTCTCTGACTCCACAGTTCATTTAAAGCACAAAGATCTTTTGTGCAGACAGTGTCTCCCTCTGCTGGTAAGGAGAGGGAACTGTAGAGGATAGATAGATGAGACAGACAACAGGCTTTACATTGTTATATTATTATTATAAAATGAATTATATCGTTTATTGGGTCTTTATTTTTATCTATATTTTTACTAATATCAATTGTTAGTAAAGTTTATTTATAAATGAAAATGTGCAGTTCCGTCATGCTTTAAATTATATATGCATTATATATATTTATTTTTTGTTCTTTTTACTGACAATGTTGGGTAAAACTAATAATATATATATATATTACAGCTGCTGTTACAACACTACAATTTTATTTTAATGATTTATTTTACCTGCAGGAACTTTAACACAAATGTTTTCTGTCAGTGTATTATTGATTAATATCAGTATTGATTAGTTAATGTCAAGAAAGAATGTTTACGTATGTACTATGACGTAATGCGCTGTCACATCGTGGCTCCGCCCATCTGCGTCCGTGTGTCCAATCAGGAGCCGACGTCGGGATGAGCTGGCGTGAAATGCCGGAAGTGTTCACAACAGGAAGCTAAGCTAACAGGCTAACCAACCGCAGCGGAGACTTTCTGTCAGTTTGTTGCGGGATCGTTGCGGGATCGTTGCGGTGAGTGTGAGCTGCGGGGTCGTTGCAACAGGCTCCTGAAGCTAACTGCTGCTAACTGAAACACCGTTGATATAAAACAGTCTGACTCGAAACCAGCAACTAGTCGGAGCCCGAGTTAGCATGCTAACGCTATCAGAGCCTTGAAAAAGTTCCAGGAAATAGACGGATCCTTCACAGAGAGTTAGTGTTTTATCTGCTTCTGTTCGCGCTGTAGATAATGTTAATAATAATAATAATAATAATAATAATAATACAGTTTATTGTTGTTTGACTGGTTAACACTTCCTGTCCTCTGTAGCAGGGCTGTGGGTATTTCCTGCTGTTACTGTAAATACACAGACTTTATATCCTAATATATTTATATATGTTTATATTTATAATTTATATGTTTATATTTATATGTTTATATTTATATTTATGTGTTTTAATGCTGATAGAAACATTCAGCTGCACTGTTAGCATCGTGTGTTAGCATGAGTTGCAGAGTTGTTGCAGCATTGTGACGACACAACAACAACACAACAACAACACAACAACAACAACAACAACACAACAACAACAACACAACAACACACTGAGGGCTAAAGGTCAGGTATTGAGTAATTAAAATGTGTCTTGGACTGAAAACAAGAAGAGAAGATATAAAACAATTTTTACTGATCAATAACTGATAGTTTGA